ACTTATTTCATAAAACTATCACCTTCATATCAAAACCTGAAAAAGAGGGCATTCAGAAAGACACAGTCATCCAACTCTCTGACCAATACAGATACAAATGATACAAATGAAACACAAGAGCAAAGCATATGCATCTGTCCAAATCTGGCTTAACCCAGTAGTTTAAGGGTGTTTTAATAATACCAAATATATACTAATAATTCAGTATTATTAAATACCAAATTATTAAATTTAATCAATTATTAAATTATTAGTTAATTATTAAATTATTAAATTTAATTATTAAATACCAAATTATTATTAAATACCAAACACCCATCAACAGATCCAACAAGGAAAAAACATGGTAGCTCAATAGATAACAAAAAGGCATTAAGAAATTAATCAAAAATATAAACTGTCTAGGAACAACCATTATAAGAAATATATAGTGATGCAGGACACTTTAATCAGAGATCGAAAGATTTAAATAGGAGCAGAACATGTCCCTGAACAGGAGAACTAAATACTGCAAGAAAATTTCAATTATTCACAAATTAATTTTTTAGTTTAATACAATGACCAATTAAAAAACAAAATATGTTTTGTAATTCACCAAAACAGTTTTCAAAGTTAAGTTAGACCACTGCTGGCCTATCAAACTGGCAAGGCTAAAGACTAATAATATTCACTTGTGGTCAAGATACAGGGAAAACGGCTCTCTCACACACATACTGTATAGGTAGGAGTATGAGATTTGGCACATCTGTCTAGGACAACTTAATTTCAAAATTAAAATTTATATACTCTGTGACAAAATAATTCCATTTCTAAAAATCTGCTCTACAGAAATATTCCCACACATTATTAAGAATGTTCACTATGACCTTATGTTTAAGAATAAAAAACAGAAGAAAAATGCAATGTTAATCAATGATTAAATAAACGATGGCACATAATATGCAGGCATTAGAAAGAATAAGGTCACTCCATCTGTGTGAAATAGGATGATGTCTATGACATATATTCGAGTGAAACAAGCAGGCTGTAGAGCATGTTAGGTTAAACAGAATTTTTATTAAAACAAAAAATGGAGTCACACTCTTAACACTGGCCTGTAAGAGAAGCTGAGAAAAAGGAGTAGCTGAGGAGGAGCTGAGGGAAAGGATGATTCAGCACTTCCATGGTTTAACTTTACACATTTCTACATTAAAGCTTCTTTGGTTGAAAAATTTGCAAATGTTGCTATTTTTATATAAAGAAAAGTATAAAAATTAAATAGAAGTTAATCTAAAATNGAGAGAAAACACATATAGCAAAATATTGACAACTGTTGAATTAGGTAGCAGGTGCACCTGTAATAACTGTGCCATCATTTCCACTTTTCTGTAGGTTTCAAATACTTCTTAAGAAAACAAAAATCCTCCCAAAATGAAAACAAAAGCATATAATGCATTTTAGTATAGAGAAAGAGGAAGGAGGGAGGGAGGAAACCAGGGTTTAACCAGTGAATTCTCTCATATTTGTGGTTAAGATAAACCTCTTGTTACAAAAATTATTCTAGTTCACAAAAAAGATCCAAAGAAAGTTATCTAACTTATTTCATAAAACTATCACCTTCATATCAAAACCTGAAAAAGAGGGCATTCAGAAAGACACAGTAGGGTGGCCCGGTGGCGCACTGGATAGTGCGCCGCTTGGGAAGCGCGGCGGCGCTCCTGTCCGAGGGTTCAGATCCCACATACAGACCGGCTCCCACTCACTGGCTGAGCGAGGCGCGGGAGCAACGCCGAGGCTTGCGATCCCGTTGCCGGTCCCCGGTCCGGTACGGGGGCAACACTGAGGGTTGCGATCCGTTGCCGGACACGGAAAAAAGACAAAAGACAAAAATCATATTTGTGGTTAAGATAAACCTCTTGTTACAAAAATTATTCTAGTTCACAAAAAAGATCCAAAGAAAGTTATCTAACTTATTTCATAAAACTATCACCTTCATATCAAAACCTGAAAAAGAGGGCATTCAGAAAGACACAGTCATCCAACTCTCTGACCAATACAGATACAAATGATACAAATGAAACACAAGAGCAAAGCATATGCATCTGTCCAAATCTGGCTTAACCCAGTAGTTTAAGGGTGTTTTAATAATACCAAATCTATACTAATAATTCAGTATTATTAAATACCAAATTATTAAATTTAATCAATTATTAAATTATTAGTTAATTATTAAATTATTAAATTTAATTATTAAATACCAAATTATTATTAAATACCAAACACCCATCAACAGATCCAACAAGGAAAAAACATGGTAGCTCAATAGATAACAAAAAGGCATTAAGAAATTAATCAAAAATATAAACTGTCTAGGAACAACCATTATAAGAAATATATAGTGATGCAGGACACTTTAATCAGAGATCGAAAGATTTAAATAGGAGCAGAACATGTCCCTGAACAGGAGAACTAAATACTGCAAGAAAATTTCAATTATTCACAAATTAATTTTTTAGTTTAATACAATGACCAATTAAAAAACAAAATATGTTTTGTAATTCACCAAAACAGTTTTCAAAGTTAAGTTAGACCACTGCTGGCCTATCAAACTGGCAAGGCTAAAGACTAATAATATTCACTTGTGGTCAAGATACAGGGAAAACGGCTCTCTCACACACATACTGTATAGGTAGGAGTATGAGATTTGGCACATCTGTCTAGGACAACTTAATTTCAAAATTAAAATTTATATACTCTGTGACAAAATAATTCCATTTCTAAAAATCTGCTCTACAGAAATATTCCCACACATTATTAAGAATGTTCACTATGACCTTATGTTTAAGAATAAAAAACAGAAGAAAAATGCAATGTTAATCAATGATTAAATAAACGATGGCACATAATATGCAGGCATTAGAAAGAATAAGGTCACTCCATCTGTGTGAAATAGGATGATGTCTATGACATATATTCGAGTGAAACAAGCAGGCTGTAGAGCATGTTAGGTTAAACAGAATTTTTATTAAAACAAAAAATGGAGTCACACTCTCAACACTGGCCTGTAAGAGAAGCTGAGAAAAAGGAGTAGCTGAGGAGGAGCTGAGGGAAAGGATGATTCAGCACTTCCATGGTTTAACTTTACACATTTCTACATTAAAGCTTCTTTGGTTGAAAAATTTGCAAATGTTGCTATTTTTATATAAAGAAAAGTATAAAAATTAAATAGAAGTTAATCTAAAATAACTAAATGTATGAATGTTAAGGACATTAAGAAAATAGAAAATTGAGGCGAGTTGCCTTATTAGGTTTCAAAAGATATAATAAAGATACAGTTATTTAGGGCCGGCCCGTGGCTCACTCGGTAGAGTGCGGTGCTGATAACACCAAGGCCCCGGGTTACAGAAAAGATAGTATGATAGGGGTATGAGAATCAAGAGATTAATAATACAGAAGAGCCTGCCTTATAACTGACCCCAGGTATACACATACACACTATAAAAACACATCATAAACCAACATTATTCAACCAATAGTGATAGAAAATGATGCACAAGTAAAATTAAGTTGATCTTTATCTGAGTTCCAGATGAGATCAAGTTAAATGTACAAAATGAAACTATAAGAAACAATTCTAGGGCTACTAGTCATACAAAATTTAAGTGCTTCAGTGACTGTGCTATGAGGGTTAAATCCAAGAATGTAAAATTAGCCTGAGCTGTTTTGCTAAAGTTCCCTCAAGATATGGACACCTGATCAATGCAAAAAACCTATCAATCAACCATGTTGCTTTGAAACCATGGGTGCAAGGAGTTTGGGGGCCGTCTGCCCCAGGAGCTTGTCAGCACTGTTTATTGATAACAGTGGAATCAAGGACATGAAACCCTGAGAGGGCTCTGCCCTGAAGGCCAGTTATGTAGCAGGATTATGCCTCAGACAAGCAAAATGTAAAAGTTTTGGAGAGACTCCATTTAGCTTCTTGGTGCCCTTGTGTTCAATTAAAGTGTGTCTAGCCACAGCCTTCACAGTGGAAGGACAACTGGAGCTGCAGTCGGCCTCTACAGACCCGGGCTGAGTGGCACCCTGGACTCATGCTACAATACTGCATCCTTTTCTTTTAATGAACTGTGGATTTGAAAGCACTGTCATCTGGGGTCGTGTGTGTTTTTTTAGTAATGGAAACCTGTTAAACTGCCTCAGTTAGTGCAGTGATACAAAAGGGGTTTCTAAAGAAAAAATGAAATTAATGAAAGGAAATGGCTCCAAAAAAGACTGATAGATCTAACTGCATAATTTTTAAAACATGCTTATTGTAATACTAAACAAAATGTTAAAATAAAGTGATAAAAAGCAGAAAAAATATTTGCAACAAATGAAGAATAAATATCCTTCAGAGAGAAGGTCTTCAGAGAGAAATCTTGAAAGTCAGTAAAAAATATATTAACACCCCCTTAAAAAAATGGGCAAAGGACACAAATAAGCAATTCACCAAAGAAATGCCACAATCAATATGCCTTAAATAAATACTCTCACAGGTAATCAAAGGAATGTTAATTACAAATATAAGAACAAACCATTTTTCATCTATCAAATTGGCAAAAAACTCTTTGTTTTTTTTATAGACAGTACTCAATGCTGAACGAGTAATAAAATAAGTATCAAGATACACTGCTCACATGCACATAAACGAGAATGACCTTCTGAAAAACTATTTGGTAACTGCAATCCATAAAATGACTAAATTCTGGCATTTATGAATCTATCTATTTAAAATGTAATTCAAGAGTTATTTCAAAGTCATCCAGTGTAGACTTCTTTATAATATGGACAAAGTACGAAACAGCTTAAATGTCAAATAGAATTATGCCTTACAGTATAATACTTTAATCATAAAAAAATCTGAAAAAATTTAATGACAAAATTTATATAGAGTATTATTATAAATAAAGAAAGTTTATTCACACACACACAACTTACAAATGACTGGAAGAAAATACCACAAAAGGTAAACAAAGGTATTTTATGGGTGGTGGAATTCTGGTATGATATGTACTCTTTATTCTAAATTTTCCACAACACATACGATCTTTATTATCAGAAAAAAAATGCAAATGTTATTTCAGTACATTTTTCAATGAAATAAATCTATTTTTAACAAATGCATGATAAAATTTACGAAAAACCTCTCATTTTTCTCTAATATCTAATAAATCAGTTAAAGGGTTGAAAATAAGATCATCATGAGAGGCGAAACCAAAATATTACCTATAACACCTGTCAGAGTTCCTGAAAGCACTTCACAATTGACTATTATTTTCAACCTGACTACAGTTTAAGATAGAAAAGAAAACAAAGTCTAGAGCAGCCAGTCTTCTCTGAAGATCCAGCTCTCTACTCACCATCCTCCGCTAAGACCTTGGCTGCGTCTTTATCCTCTTCCCACGTCCCAGTCACGAAGCAGTCTCTGATGCTGTTCATAACCTGATGCACAAAAGTCAGCACTTACGTGACATGCTCCAATCACTCAACAAAACAACTGCACTAAGAAACAGTGGTAGGCAACAGAGTGCCTTTAAATATTTCTCAAGACACTCTGTGGATATTCTCATTACAGGTGGGATGATGAGACGACTTCACCTTTGATGCAGATAGTATAACCACAGAGATAAAACATAAATTCATAATAGTAAGCAGCAGACAGGGAAAGTACTATTAGCACACTGACCTCATAAGTAAACAAACAGATATTTACTAATTCAACTAATTTTCAAAGTTTCTAAGGAGATGCGGTGAGACAGCATTTTACAAAATTGTTCTTGCTATTTGTTAATCCAAACCTATTGTGTCTGTTTGAAAACTTCATTCCTACAAAATGAGAGAAAATATTTGTAAACCATGTATCTGTTCAGGGATTTTTACCCGGAATATATAAACAACTCTTAAAACTAAATAACCCAATTTAAAAAACAGGCAAACAATATGAATAGATATTTCTTCAAAGAATATATGAGGCTACTCCAAAAATTTCATATACCCGGAATATATAAACAACTCTTAAAACTAAATAACCCAATTTAAAAAATAGGCAAACAATATGAATAGATATTTCTTCAAAGAATATATGAGGCTACTCCAAAAATTTCATGGAAAAATGGAAATGAAAGATAATACGAATCTTTCCATGAAACTTTTGAAGAACTCTCATACACAAGCTGCCAATAAGCACATAAAAAGATGATCAACATTATTAGCTATCAGGGAGATACAAATCAATAACGCAATTAGATATCGCTTCACACCCCCTAGGATGGCTAAAAATCCAAAAGACAGATAATAACATGTACTGATGAGGATGTGGAGAAATTGAAAACCACATACACTGATGGTGAGACTGTTCCACCTTTAAAAAGAGAAATGAGAGAACATATGAGGGAAAAAAACTTAACTCTTTTCAGTAATCATATTAATAGAAACATGTATAACGCTACTCTGACATTGTTTTATGTGTAACATAAGATAAAGCAAATGAGTAATTATGTGGTTTTCTAATTTCATCATCTTCAGATTCAACCAGAGAATAATTCTTCAGTGGAAAAACAGATACAAATGTAAGATGAGGTCCTGAATGTGAATTGGAAATATCTATATGAATTCTCCTAGCTCTGATCACTGAGAAGGCCTAGAAATAATGACCAACTCAAAGCAATCAGCATTTCTATGTCTAGGCTGTGAGGTTAAAATACCATTCATTACTAAACAAAATCAGAACTTCTCATGGCTGACTGCAAGTCTGGCATCACCAATGTACAAGATGATGTTGGACACCTCATCACAGAGAATAAAGAAGCTATCAAGGATGACCAGGATTGTGTTAAAAGGACTCATAAGCCAACGTGAAGAGACTCCCGACAGGATACAGATGGATAAATCTGAGCATCGATAGAATAACCAGTGCAACAGAATGAATCACATCAACTATATTTAAATCCATGACTTCATAATGATACTTAAAAAGAGTCACCTTTGGAGAATCATTCTGAAAACTGATTTAAAAAAAAATCAAGCATTTATCCTGCTTCCACTAAACTGGGTAGCCAACAGTAGAAGAAGGGAAGTTTCTCTTTACAGAAGTATTCCAACTAATAAATAAAAAGAAATGATTGAATAGACATCACCACTCTACATCTGTAAGAAATTAGTAGCTCTAGGCATTGAGTGTCAACAATTGCTAACATCATGAAAAGAGACAACTAGACTTTTTGTGCCTCCTAATGAAAAAACACCATCACCCAGGAAGCAGTGTTACCAAAACATAAAAGTCAAATCTAAATCCTATCAAACTTCTAAATGTTCTGTCCACAGGATAACTATAACCACATGGATATTTAAATTAATCTTAATTAAATTAAGATTAAATAAAATTTAGACAAAATTAAAATTTTAGTTCATTATACTCACTAGCCAAATACATACATTCATTCATTCATTCATTCATTCATTTA